ACAGCAAAGTGAACAATGAGCCTGAAAATGCAGGCAGTTCAGGCCTCCAGGCCCCCTGGCCTGAGAGCTGGGACTATAAGGAGCAAAGAGATGAACTGACAGCTGCTGACCACTTCCTCTGCACCAGGTACATGACCTGATAGGAGCCTCCCAATCGCCCCTGTGGGCAGAAGAAAGAATTGAGGCCATAGGAGGCTTTGTAATCTGTTCAAGCTCACACAAGTTAGGGAGAGGCCTTGAAACACAGGCACTCGGACTCCTTAGTCTATGACCTTCACCATCATGTGCTACATATCAAGGATGCAAAACCAAGCTTTGGCAATCCTTTTACCATCTTTGATAACCAGTTTCACAAGTACAAGTCTTGGCATCTGTTCAGAAAATTTCTACTTGCAACCCTCTCTTTCAGAATTTACTTGTTTTCAGAACTCTGGACTTTGAGCTGGGATAATATGCAAAATAATATTTAAAAATAAGTAACTGGTGGGGCACCTGGGTGGCTCAGTCGTTAAGCATCTGCCTTTGGCTCAGGTCATGATCCCAGGTTCCTGGGATCGAGCCCCACATCGGGCTCTCTGCTCGGCCGGGAGCCTGCTTCTCCCTCTTCCACTCCCCCTGCTTGTGTTCCCTCTCTAGCTGTGTCTCTCTCTCTCTGTCAAATAAATAAAATAAAATCTTAAAAAAAAATAATAATAAGTAACTGGTTAACATATTAGTATGTTATCCATTGATCTTAGCAATGTATTTACAACTCTCAGAACTATAATGTTATAATAAAAGACATAGCTCTAGTTTCACACATGGAGGCCAAACCTTGGAAGAGAAATTTTGGGGCCAGCGCACGATTTTCTTTAGTCATTCATCCACACCCCATAAAAGCCAGACAATAGAAGAAACAGAACTTCCCAATGGATGCTAAAAAAATGTACTGGAATTAAAAATAGGAACAAAAGTAATTTTTTTTTACTGTGTTAGGTTTGCTTGCTAGTAAGTTTCCTTTAGGTTGCAAGAAACATAGATCCACTCAAGTTGTGTTAAGTAATGGGGGTTTATGGTAAGGGTAGATGCAGAAGTAGAGAGTATAGGATTCTCAACTTCCGGACTAAAAAAGAGGAACCACAATGGAGTCAGGCTTTTTTATATTTATATAAATATGCATAAGTTATATGTAAATATTAATGTAAAAATATATATTATATATACAAATGTTTTATTATATATAATAAAATAAAAACATATGATGTACATAATATAAATATATATATTAATTAAAGGTCTATTCAGCAAATAGTGCTGGAAAAACTGAATGCCCACACAGAAACAAAAATTAATCTCAACATTATTTCAAATCATAAACGAAAATTCATTGAAAATGTATCATAGGGGCACCTGGGTGGCTCAGTCGTTAAGCGTCTGCCTTTGGCTCAGGTCGCGTGATCCCAGGGTCCTGGGATTGAGCCCCGCATCAGGCTCCCTGCTCAACGGGAAGCCTGCTTCTCCCTCTCCCACTACCCCCCCTCTGTCTCTCTGTCAAATAAATAAATAAAATCTTTTAAAAAAAAGAAAAGAAAAGAAAATGTATCATAGACTGAAACCTAAAAGCTAAAACTATAAAATTTCTACATAAAAACATTCTACAGGGGCGCCTGGGTGGCTCAGTCGTTAAGCGTCTGCCTTCGACTCAGGTCATGATCCCAGAGTCCTGGGATCGAGCCCCGCATCGGGCTCCCTGCTCGGCCAGGAGCCTGCTTCTCCCTCTCTCACTCCCCCTGCTTGTGTTCCCTCTCTAGCTGTCTCTCTCTCTCTCTCTCTGTCAAATAAATAAAATAAAATCTTAAAAAAAAAAAAAAAACCACATTCTACAGAAAATTTCTACAGTAAATCATTGTGACTTTGGGACAAGCAAAGACTTCCTAGATAAGACACAAAAAACATAAACCATATTCGTTGCTTGTGACAAATGAACCGTATTTACATTAATATAGGGAAAGTGGCTTGGGGTGTATGAGAACTCTGTGTTATTTTCACAATTATTTTATAAATCTAAAACTATTCAAACTAAGAAGTTTATTACAAAAAAAGCATGAACCATAAAATTAAAAATAGCTAAGTTGATAAACTAAAAACTTGTGCTCACTAAAAAGACACTATTAGGAAACTGAAAAGACAAGCTATAAACTGGGAAAACTATTTGCAAATCACATATCTGACAAAGGAATTATATATAGCATATATAAAGAACTCTCAAAACTCAATAAAAAATCAACCACAATTTTAAGAGACTTAAATAGACATTTCACTAGAGAAAATACATGGATAGCTTATAAGCACATGGAAAGATACTTGGCATTAATTACTAGGAAAATGAGATACCATTGCACACCTACTAGAATGGCTAAAATTTTAAAATAGACGATTCCACGAGTGTAGAGGATGCAAAGCAATTGGAACTCTCATTGCTGGTAGGAATGCAAAATGGTACAGACACTCTTTAAAAGAGATTAGCAATTTCTTAAACTTACATTCACCATATGACCCAGTAATCTTCCCATGGTGTCTATCCAAGAGATATAAAAATATTATGTCCTCTACTCACTGGTCCACAATTCCCAGAAACTGGAAACAATCCAAACGTCTGTGGACCAGTGAATGAACAAATGTCTATACAATGTAATGGTGTTCTACAATAGATGGAGTGAAGGGGCACCTGGGCAGCTCAGTCGGTTAAGCGACCAACTCTTGATTTCAGCTCAGGTCATGATCTCAGGGTTGTGAGATCAAGCCCCACATGGGGCTCCGCGCTGGGCATGCGTGGAGCCTCCTTAAGATTCTCTCCCACTCCCTCTGCCCCTCCCCCCTCCCTCCCGCTCTCTAAAAATAAAAGGGAGGGGGAGTGAAATACTGATGCATACAACACAGATGAATCTCAGAGATGAAGGAAGGCAGATGCAATGAGCAACATGATTCCATTTATCTGACATTCTGGAAAACACAAAACTATAGTTTGCCAAGGACTGAGAATAGAGGAAGAGTATTAACTACCAGGGACAAAAGGAAACTCTTTGGGGTGGTAGAGTCTATATCTTGATTGTGGGGTTATTAAATGACTGTATACATTTGTCAAAACTAATCAAAGTACATACCTGAACAGGGAAGATCATACTGTATGTAAATCATACCTCAAACTATTTTGGTTAAAAGAAAACTGGGAATATATCTCTTATATTACTTTACATACTTTACATACTTCTTCTCTTTTTAATTTAACATCAGAGCACTAAATGAGCTATACAAACATGGCTTTAATGACTACATAAAATTTCACTGTGTGGGTATATTATAACATAATTATTTCCCACTACTGGATGTCGTTCATTTCCAATTTTCTTTTTTTTTTTTTTTTAAGATTTTTATTTAGTTATTTGACAGAGAGAGAGACAGCGAGGGAGGGAACACAAGCAGGGGGAGTGGGAGAGGGAGAAGCAGGCTTCCCGCTGAGCACGGAGCCTGATGCGGGGCTCGATCCCAGGACCCCGGGATCATGACCTGAGCCGAAGGCAGATGCTTAATGACTGAGCCACCCAGGTGCCCCTGTTCATTTCCAATTTTCTTATGTATGTTCTTACATGAAATCTCTGTACACCAGTTTAGTCTTTAATCTCTGATCATTGCAACAGAACAAAATTCCAGATGTGAAATTACTGAGCTAAAGGATGTGCAGTAGATTAAGGTTCTGAATATTTATTGTCAATTTGCTCTCCAAAAAAGGTGGAAAACAGCTTACACGCCCACCATGATAAAAGTGGGTCTATAATAGAAGTCTTAAATACATCTTTTTTAAAAATATGAAGCAATCATACAAGAAAGATTTACTCTGCATATCTGAGGGATGCAGCACCCTGTCAGATCTAGAACATCAAACTAAAACATCAGAAAAAGGTCTATGGGGTAGTGAGAAAATGAACAAATCTACAGAAAAAAGGATCTGTGGAATTTCCAGGAACCCTTTGTAAGCAAGATTTTCTCAAATGATTTTTTTCTCAAGAAGAGAGATTAGTTTTTCCATTTATAATACATTATTTTGTATAATAAAGAACAGTTAGCAAAATAATTCATCCGAATCCTTTTTAAAATATATATATATATATTTATTTAAGAGAGAGAGCGCACACAGGGGTGGGGCAGAGCAGCAGAGGGAGAGGGAGAAGAAGGCTCCCAACACGGGGCTCAACCCAGGACCCTGAGGTCATGACCTGAGCCAAAGGCAGACACTTAACTGAATGAGCCACACAGGCACCCTACTGGAATCCTAATTACACTCACATTTTCAAGAACAATCATGTACTTTAACCAAGATATCCCTCTCCTTTTACCCATCAGTGCTACTCAGTCAGAATGTTTGAATTTTGATAATCATCTTTCACTGTAACAAATACCGTATTCCACAATAGAATCCTAGGCTCACAATATTTGTTCCATGTGCTAGTCCCTATCTTCAAAGCATAGTTTATGCTAATAGATGACTCCTTTATATTAGAAACAGAAAAACCTTATGCATTAATTTTCTAGCGGTGTCCCTATTCAGACATTAGCTCTGCCATTACTAAGATAAACATTGCTTACCAGACATTTTAACTAAAAAGTGACCAAAACAGAAGGCCTAAACCTGGACAATGTTAAGTTCAGTTTCAAAATGTCCTCCTGGTGAATGAATTACATTTCTGAACCTTGGCCATCTGATCCTGGAGTCCCTATCATCATTTTCCATCACTGACTTGAAAGATGAACCATGTCTGTCTGAATAATTCCATCGGAAACCCTCTTCTCTCAATGATTCATGCAGATGGGAATTTTGATTGTACAGAATTCATGTAAAACTTGAACCTGCGTCATGAAATTCTGGAACAGAGAGAACCCTATTTTGCTAAAATCCTCACAGTGGGTTGGTAGTTTTGCTGACTGTGAACTCAGCTTCCAAACCATTCACTCTCTGTACTCACCCCATCCAACCTTGCTCTCTGCTCCACGTGGACTGCAACAGTTCATTTGACTGTGCATTGCAGGTTTCTCCTGCCTGTGAAATGAATAAAAAAATCACACCAATAAATACAGAAAAACAAAATGGTGGTTGCCGGAGGGGAGGGAGATAGGAGGATGGACAAAAATGGGTGAAGGGGAGTGAGAGGCACAGGCTTCCAGTCATGGAATGCATAAGTCATGAGGATGAGAGGTACAGCACAGGGAACATAGTCAATGGTATTGTAATAGCCTTGTGTGGTGACAGATCTTAGCTACACTTGTGGTGAGCAGAACATCATGTATAGAGTTGTCAAATCACTGTTGTATATAGCTGAAACTAGTATAATTTATAGTGTGTCAACTCTACTAAAAAAAAAAAAAATCACACCCATGAAGGTGCCATTCCAGACCATCTTTAATATTCCATTACATCTTCCAGAATTTGGAGACCAAAGCCAACTTCTAAAATCAAAGGAACATATTTAGAAGGATTTTTTTAAACAATGCACATCAAGTTCTAGTTCTGATTTTATTATTTTTAATTCTTCTTCTTATTATTATTAGGACTTCTTTTTATTTTTAAGGAAAATGCCCCATGATTTGAATCATTTGAAAATGATTTGAATACAAGAAATGGGCAGAAGACATGAACAGACATTTCTGCAAAGAAGACATCCAAATGGCCAACAGATGCATGAAAAAGTGCTCAACATCGCTCAGCATCAGGGAAATCCAAATCAAAACCTCAATGAGATACCACCTCACATCAGTCAGAATGGCTAAAATTAACAAGTCAGGAAATGACAGTTGTTGGTGAGGATGTGGAGAAAGGGGAACCCTCCTACACTGTTGGTGGGAATGCAAGCTGGTGCAGCCACTCTGGAAAACAGTATGGAGGTTCCTCAAAAGTTGAAAATAGAGCTAACCTATGACCCAGCAATTGCACAGATACAAATGTAGTGATCCGAAGGGGCACGTGCACCCCAATGTTTATATAAAGCAGCAATGTCCACAATAGCCAAACTATGGAAAGAGCCTAGATGTCCATCAACAGATGAATGCATAAAGAAGATGTGGTATATATAATGGAATATTATGCAGCCATCAAAAAATGAAATCTTGCCATTTGCAATGACATGGATGGAACTAGAAGGTATGCTAAGTGAAACAGGTCAATCAGAGAAAGACAAGTATTATACAATTTCACTGATATGAGGAATTTGAGAAACAAGACAGAGGATCATAGGGGAAGGGAGGGACAAATAAAACGAGACAAAACCAGAGAGGAAGACAAACCATAAGAGACTCTTAATCTCAGGAAACAAACTGAGGGTTGCTGGAGTGGAGGGGTGTGGGAGGGATGGGGTGGCTGGGTGATGGACATTGGGGAGGGTATGTACTATGGTGAGCGCTGTGAATTGTGTAAGACTGAAGAATCACAGACCTGTACCCATGAAACAAATAATACATTATATGTTAATTTAAAAAAAAGAAGATGTGGTGTACGGATAGCCTGTGGAATAGTATTCACCCACGAGAAAGAAGGAAACCCTGCCATTTGTGATAACGTGGATGGACCTTGAGAGCATTATGCTAAGTGAAATAAGCCAGATAGAGGAAGACAAATAGAGCATGGTATCACCTATATGTGGAATTATGTGGAATATGTGGGAAAAAAGTTAAACTCATAGAAACAAAGAGTAGAAGTGGCTGCCAGAGGCTGGGGGTGAGGGAAAAGGGAAAGGTTGGTGAAAGAATACAAACTTTCAGCTGTTAAGATGAATACAATGTGAGGATCTAATGTAAAACATGGTGACCATAGTTGACAACACTGTATTGTATAAGTGGAAGTTGCTAAGAGAGAACTTAAATAGTCTCGCAAAAAAAAAAAAAAAAAAAAAAAAAAGATAAATATGTGTGGGGATGGATGTATTAATGAACTAGATGGGGGGATCTTTCACAATGTATATGAATATATCAAATCACCATGATGTACACCTTAAATATCTTACAATTTTATTTGTCAAATATACCTCAATAAAACTGATATTTCAAAAAAATGATTTGAATAGGCAATCAGAATAAATATCACACCCCCCTACTGTGATCCCCTTTCCTTCTCTCTCTCTCTCTCACACACGCACACACCTATTTCCCACAGACTGTCGGGAACCTATACATATTCCCCCTCCCCCTGGCCATTGCCAGTACACAAAATCCACCAGCACTCAGGGCCAGACATCCTGACTAAGGCCAGCCCAGAACAAAATGGAAGGAAACAAAAAGTGTCCCTCAAACCCACTCTCCTGCCACTTCACTGTTCTGTCTGCTGTCAGGTCTCCCTGCCTCCCACCCCACTTAGCTGTCACAGCCCCTTCTATAACTACCTGAGAAACCTTCTTGTGTTGGATTCCTGCAACAAAACACAATAAATGTCCAAAAAGGGCTAAGCCCTCCTAGGCAAATGAGTCGACAGAAAAAGCACTAGCCCGAGAACGAGACTATGAGAATTCTCATTCCCGCTGTACCGCTTCCTGGCTGAGGGCAGACATGAGGCTCTCAGCTGACAGCAGTCAAGCTCCACTCTCAGAGGCCCTAGAGCCCAACTGCATTTGCTCCCAGGTTTGGGGACTCATCCAACAACTCTGTCTCTTGAGCCCCTTCTGGATTGTTTCGCTTTAAAATATCTAGCTCCAGGGGCGCCTGGGGGGCTCAGTCGGTTAAGCGGCTGCCTTCGGCTCAGGTCATGATCCTGGGGTCCTGGGATGCAGCCCCATGTCGGGCTCCCTGCTCAGCGGGGAGTCTGCTTCTCCCTCTGCCTCTGCCTCTCCCCCTGCTTGTGTTCTCTCTCTGTCAAATAAAGAAATAAAATCTTTAAAAAAAATTAAATTAAAAAAAAATATCTAGCTCCAGAGTAAAAGAACTTCTGAAAAAAAAAAAAAAATACGCACCATTCACCAAGATAATAGACCCATCCAGGGGCCCGTTCACTATAATCATCCATATCCCCAAAGCATTGAATTCCGCCCCGTACATAATTAGAGAGGAGAAGCAGGCAGACACCTGCCAAATGACAATGAAAGAGCAACAGAAGGTTATGGAGTGACCAGCCTGGTGGAGTAGCTGTAAGCACAGGACATAAGAATCGCCCCCCAGCACCACCGAGGCAGGCGTTTACCCCTAAAACAGATCCTGGCACAGAGAGGCCCTCAAGCAATTTTTGTTGAGTGGCTGCATAAAGCCATGGGTGAAGGGATGCCTGGGTGGCTCAGCCGGTTAAGCGGCTGCCTTCGGCCCGGGTCATGATCCCAGGGTCCTGGGATCAAGTCCCACATCGGGCTCCTTGCTCAGCGGGGAGCCTGCTTCTCCCTCTCTCTCCCTCTGCTTATGCTCTCTCTGTCAAATAAATAAAAATCTTAAAAAAAAAAAAAAGCCATGGGTGAATAAATCAACTGAGAAGAAAGTGTGCAAAGTCTGGCAGGTGAAAATATACCTGTTCTATGGTCTTATAAAGAAAATAGGTTAGCAATGCCACCCAGAGGGTCAACGTTATAGGGCGGGAGAATGAGCGGATTCTGTTGATGGCGTTTTCTCCCCTGATTGCAGGGGGTGGCCGATCCGTCTTCCTGCTCTTCCATGTGATGGGGGCAAGAAGTTCTGACGCAAAGGGATACAAGTGGCAATCCCCCTTCGCCAGAGGGTGAACTTCCATTCAAAGACCCTCCCGAGCGCCCCCTCGCCCTCTCTCACCTCCCCGCTTACTCCCACATATCCCATCCTTACTGCAGCACATCCCTGGTTCCGCGTCCATTATTCCATTTCGTTTTGTTGTGTTTGTCAGCTCTGTAGTTCATCTAAGTAAAACCTGTATTTCTCATGGTATACAGCATAAGTGTTCAGTCTTGGTGACATGAGTAGAACTTTTACGAAGGGGTTTAGGAGGCAGAAGGGAATTGGGATATACTCAGAAACTAGTCCACGTCCTCACCTGTAGCACTCTACAGAACTGATGTCATCATAAATCAGGAGAGGTGTCTGCAGTGGGGCATGCAGGGTTCCAGGACATAAAGGCTCTAGGATGGCCCCTGTGGGGTGGGGGAAGAAGGGTTTAAAACAGCATCCGATCCCACTGATTACATCTGTGGTCTGCTTTTTTACTGGCCTACAAGTAATTTGAGACAAATGTTACATTAAATAACCTTCTCTTTCACCTGCTATGACAGCTAGAGCAGGAAACACATGCGATGGCTTAAGATGTAGGCCAGATTGCCCTGAGATCCTCAGCCAAACTAAACAATCTCATCCCAGGAGCATGGAATTCACACTTCTGGTCATTCATCCATAAACGTACTCATTTCACAGATATTGCACACCAATGCTGTATACTACGAGAAATACAACAGTGAACGAAACAGCGTTCTTAAATTGGTTGTTTCTACCTTGGGATTTCATAGTCCTATAGTATCCAGTCCTATATCATTCAGGGCACAATTAATTTACTTCACTTCTTCCAAAGATGTTTATAAAGATTAGCGGAGGGAATGGCATATGACAGATGCGGGTTCAAATCCTAGCTATACTGCATTGATGTGATATTTGGCCAATTTCTTAACCTTTCTAAGCTTTAGTTTATTTGTCTATTAAATGGGAATAATAATAGCTATCTTATAGGACTGTTAGTTTTGCTTGAAAGAAAAACAAGGATAAAGCGCAGAGAACAGTACTGGTGTACGGGAGGAACTAAATCAGAGTTTCTTCCTTCTGTCCTATGGATTTCTGATCATCTTGTGATCAGTTTGTACCGAGGGCAAGTCTTGTCCCTGGGCCTTAGCTCACCCTTTTGTACTTAACCACCGTCAGCAAATTTGACCTCATTCTCCCAAAGAAGTTTGATTCCAACATGGCACTTTACATACTGCTGGTGTTCTTTGCTTTCAACACATGCCAACATGAAAATTTTAAGTAAGCAAGCACAGACTTTGTAAAGGTTTTTACATTACTACTAATAAAGGTTGACACTTATGGACTCGAAGCTCACCAAGTTCCAGGCACGAT